AAGGAACTAATGCCACATATTTTCTCCTGCTAATCTAAATTTAGAAAGAGGGAAAAAAAGATTTTCACTGGACCCTGCAAACAAAGATCTGGGAGGCTGACACAGTAAGAAAGCCTACCTGTTGCTGGCCATTGTCAGATGTCCCAGCATCTCTCAGCTGCAGCAGTCCCAGGGAGAAAGTGGTTTTCCAGTTGGTGAAGTCTCCTGCTTGGCTCACCAAAACTGCCAAGGTGAGGGAAATTCTCCCTCGCTGGACTAATAATAAAATTGACATAAGACCAGATTAACGGGAGAAAAACCAATTTAATACACGCACATGGGAGATCATAAAAAGTGATGCTCGGAGAGTGAACAAAGCAGGCAGTTTATATATCGTTTTGCACAAAGAGACAATACATTTGTGAGGATTGACAGGACAAAGAGAATTAGGTTTGGTTGCTTGATTAGTAAGGAATTTAAGCAGAGTTTGGTTTTGGGGTAGTAAATTAGTAAAAAAGTAACAAGGTTTCTTTATACAGGCTTCTTAGCCCTTAATTCCCTAGCTCTGGTGATAAGGATCTCTATCTATCTCCTGGTGTAGGGAGGGTACCTTTCACATGGGAGATTTATTTTCTGCTTTTAGGAGGAGCCGAGAGAGGAGGGTCAAAATGCCCTTTTTGCATCAGCTACTTCTCAAGTAACTTTAATTCAAAATAATCAATATGCCATTATGGGATATTTTGGGGCAGCCTGCCCTGAGCCCCAACAGTTCCCTCCTCTGCAACTTCCCTGGACATTTCACACATTAAAAGCTGAGCTGGAGGCTGTGGAGAGAGAAAGCAGGTTAGAAGCTGGGTGATAAGAGATCTGAAGAGAGAGAAAAGAACGTAGATTAAAATGAGGATGGACAAACAGAAAAGAACAAATCAAAGTTGAACTAAAGTTAGTAACTTTTCAACTAATTTCTTTCTGTAAACTAGTTGGGTACACTGGTCGATACATGTGATACTTAGATAGAAGCTTAATGGATAATGTGTGGAAGGAATACTACACCTTTAGGCTTAATTAGAGCAGGGACTGTTTCTAATTTCCTAGCGATTATTAAATGTAGACCCTTGATAAATTCTTGTCAAACTACTAATCAATTTGACTAGGAGTTGGAAATAGGAATTCCATTTCTGACTCTGCCATGTATTTCTGTGTGACCTTAAGTACTCAATTTCTTGAATATTTTTACAAGTGAAATATGGTGTTTTGGGCTATAAAATCACTTGTTTTTAAGATTCTTAGGGAACAATGTCTTACTCACCATCAAATTCTTCTCAGCACTGCTCTCTCTGTAGTCCCATTCTCACCAGCGTGTATTTATGCCTGTGTCTATCTCATCTCTCTTGGAAAACGCACACACACACACACACACACACACTCATTAAGAACAAAATGCAGCATTAGCAGATACTGTCATCGCCTTGCTCGTATACACTTCCCCTAGTGGCATTAGTGTGCAGGCCTGACTCACAACAGCCTGACTTTGGATTTCTCTGCCTGATAGCTTTTTGGGCCTCCAGAGTCAGCTTTACCTTTCAGCCTGGCAGGCTAGAAGTGGTGGGAAATTAATGACCCCTCCCCACACCACTACCAGGAGCAGCCCTCAATCAACCATTTATTGGATACTTCTCATTGCTCTTCTCCACATATGTTCCAGGAACCCTCAAAATAAACCACAGTCATGTGCTGCATAATGACTTTTCAATCAATGATGGACTTCATGTATGACAGTGGTCCCATAAGATTATAATGGAGCTGAAAAATTCTTATTGCCTAGTGACTTTGTAGCCATTGTAATGTCATAGTACAATGCATTACTCATGTGTTTGTGATGATGCTAGTGTAAACAAACCTACTGCCAGTCGTATAAAAGTATAGCACATACAATTATGTACAGTACATTATACTCGGTAATGATAATAAATGACTGCTACTGGTTTATGTATTTACTATACTATACTTTTTATCATTATTTTAGAGTGTACTCTTTCTACTTATAAAAAAAAGTTTACTGTAAAACAGCATGCCATGTTCCACAGCAGCAGCCTCATACACCTCTGTTTACCATGTCTCTAGATTGTGTCATTCCTCTTGTGCTTGATTTAATCTCATGCTGTTTTGTTCATCATGGCCCCTAAGGGTACAAAATCCACTGCTAATGTTTCTGGTAAGAAGCCATGTAGAGTGATTGACCTGGAAACAAAATTAGAAGTGATTAAAGACTACGAGGTGGAAAATCAGTGATGGTTATTGCTCATCAGTTAGACATGCCCCATTCCACCATAGCTACGATCTTGAACCACAAGAACAAAGTGATGGAAGCTGTTAAAGGATCTGCTTCATTGAAGGCAATGAGACTAACAAAAGTTCAAGAAGGGCCTATATCAGACATGGAGAGACTTCTAATGACCTGGATTGAAGACCAGACACAGAAGCGTATCCCTCTCAGCACCCTGATGATCACGGCCAAAGCAAGAAATTTATATGAGATGTTAAAAGAAAAGTCTGGACCCAACTATAATGTTGAATTTACTGATAGCTCTAGGTGGTTTAAAAGATTCTAGAATCATTGTTCATTGCATAATGTGAAAGTGAGTGGTGAGTAGGTGAATGCCATTGCGAAGGCAGCTGAAGAATTTTTGGAACTCTAGATAAGCTGATTGTGGAGGAAAATTACTTGCGAGAGCAAATATTTAATATGGATAAAACCTCCCTATTCTGGAAATGGATGCCTGAAAGTACTTTCTTACATAAGGAGGGCAAGTCAATGCCCGATTTCAAGGCTTTTAAGGACAAGATAACATTCTTGCTTGGGGGCAATGTTGCAGGCTGCAAATTGAAACCCTCTGTGATCTGGCACAGTGAGAACCCCAGGCCTTCAAGCGTATCAATAAGCACACACTGCCAGTGTAGCACAGGAGCAATGAGAAGTCATGGATGACCCAGCTCCTCTTCCAAGATTCCCTCTTAAATTGCTATGCCAGTGAAATGAAGAAGTACTATTTGAGAATAACATACATTTCAAGGTTTTGCTTATTGTTGATAACATTCCTGGACATCCTCCTTTTATTGGTGACCTTCATCCCAATATCAAAGCAATGTTTCTCCCTCCAAACACCACCTCTTTGACTCAACCAATGGATCAAGGAGTTATGGAAGCTTTTAATACATACTACCTAAAGAGGACCTTTGCCCAGGCTGTTGCTGAAACTGTGGAAGAACTGATTACAACATCTATCACTGCATCAAGAGCTTTGCTTGGACTTGGGGTGATGTCACCAAGGAGTGTATGAATGGCATCTGGAAGAAGATACTCAAGAGGTTTGTCCTTGACTTCAAAGAATTTGCCAAGGATAAGGAGGTTGCAAACATCAACAAGGCTGTGGTTGAAATGGCAGATAACTGTAACCTGGGCGTGGCTGAGGATGACGTTGAGGTGGTTCCTGAGGAATTGACTAATAAGGAGTTGTTGGAACTGGAACAGGAACGCACAGCTCAAAAAGAGCCAAGAGAAAAGGAACTGTAGGAGAGAGAAAAGAACCCCCAAGAAAATTCACAGCAAAGGATTTAGCAACACCTTTTGCAGACCTCAGCAAACTCCTTAAAAAGTTTGAAAACATGGACCCCAACACCAGAGAGGAATATTCATGGTGCATTATCGGCTTACAAGCAAATCTATGATGAAAATTAAAAAGAAGAAACCAAGCAAACCACCGCAGAGACATTTCTGAAAAGAGTGACACCCCCTCAAGAAGAGCGGCAGGCAGGTCCTTCAGCAGGTGTTCCAGAAGAGGGCACAGTTATTACAGGCAATGACAGCTCCATGCATGTTATTGCCACTGAAGACCTTCCAGTGGGACAAGATGTGGAGGTGGAAAACAGTGATATTGATGATTCCGACCCTGTGAGGCCTAGGCTAATGTGTGTGTTTGTGTCTTAGTTTTTAACAAAAAAGTTTGTAAAGTAAAAAAAAAAAAAATTTAAAAATAGAAAAAAGCATATAGGTTAAGAATAAAAGAATATAAAGAAAGAAAATATTTTTGTACAGCTGTACAATGTGTCCGTGTTTTAAGCTAAATGTTATTACAAAAGAGTCAAAAAGTTTAAAAAAATTAAAAGTTTATAAAGTAAAAAACTTATGGTAAGCTAAGGTTAATTTATTACCGATGAAAGAAAAACATTTTTTTACAAATTTAATGTAGCCTAAGTGTGCAGTGTTTATAAAGTCTATAAAGTAGTGTACAGTAACGTCCCAGGCCTTCACATTCACTCGCCGCTCACTCACTGAGTGAGCTCCATTCAGCCCTGCGAGCTCCATTCAGAGTAAGTGCCCTGCCCTATACAGGTGTACAGTTTTTATTATCTTTTATACCACATTTTTCCTGTAGCTTTTCTACATGTAGATATGCTTAAATACACAAACACTTAGCGTTGTGTTATAATTGCCTGCAGTGTTTAGTACAGCAATATGCTGTGCAGCCTTGTAGCCTAGGAGCCATAGGCTAGATCATATCGCCTAGGTGTGTGGTAGGCTACACCAGCTAGGTTTGTGTAAGTACATGCTACAATGCTCGAACAACGATGAAATTGCGTAACAATACATTTCAGAATGTATCCCCATCGTTAAGAGACTCATGATTTTACTTGCTCTTGACTTCTTATCTCAAGGCAGGCTTCTGGAGAAACCCAAAATAGGACACAAAGCAAACTCCTCCCTCACTCTTCCTTCAACCACCACCCTATTTTTCTCCTCCTTCTTGATAATTAAGCTGTCATATTCACTCCTCAATCCTACCAGGGTCTGCCTTTACCGTGTCACCAAGTCTTCCGTCTCTAAAAATATACGAGGATTAACATGTGGTATATCCAATAGCAGTTTCAGAACTTAACTTGCTTGAAATATCAATCAATGATAAATAATCCTTCCTCAACCCCACTGATAGATAATTCTTAAGGATTTGACCTTACACAATTGTGGGAGCTGGTTTAGCAGTCTCCGGAAGGTTGTTGTCTTTGCACGTTGGAGCTTGAAGTCTACAGGGCAGGCAGATGGGAAGAGAAGATGGATGTAGAGGAGAGAAAGGACAGGCTAGAACCCACAAAGCATGAACTTGCAGTTTTTGCTGCCCCCGACCTTGGTAGTGTGAGTGTTTGCAGGAAAGTCTGGTACCCTTTCTCAAAAATCTAAATTTACACAAATTTTGATCTATTTGCTTTCAGTATCATCCAATTAAAAATATTTTCCCATTTCCTTTATGATTAGTACTTTGACCCACAGATTATTTAGGGCAGCCTTTTCAAATGCTTAATAGCCCCTTGTGGCTAGTGCATACCTTACTGGCCAGGTCAGTTTTAAAGAGTCAGTTACCACTTAGAAGATTAAATGTAGGAAACCTTCATTTTAACCGTTTCTGGGAATGTTCTTTTTTTTCAAGGTATATCCAATTTTCTTTCTAGTGGCATCATGTCCTGTTATTTCTGCCTGAATAATTTTCCGTAACATTTTTTTGTAGTACAGTTCTCCTAGTAATGAATTCTACCAGTTTTTGTTTGAAAAACTTTTTTTTCTCCCTTATTTCAAAAATCTTTTTGTTTTGAAATAATTAGAGACTTAGGAAGTTACAAAAGTTGTGTACATTCTCCTCCATTTTTTTTTTTTTTTTTTTTGGGGGGGCTTGGCCTTGGGTTACCTTTTGTTGCCATTCTTCCCTTTTTTTTTTGGGGGAGATTGGCCCTGGGCTAACATCCGTGCCCATCTTCCTCTACTTTATATGGGATGCCGCCACAGCATGGCTTCACAAGCAGTGCGTCTGTGCGCTCCCAGGATCCGAACCTGCGAACCCCGGGCCGCCGCAGTGGAGCGTGCACACTTAACTGCTTGTGCCACCGGGCTGACCCCATTCTCCTCCATTTTTAAGAGAGATTTTTGCTGCGTATAAAATTCTGGGTTTATAGATTTTTTCTTTCCTTCAGCAAGGTTTGTCATTCTATTTTCCTCTGGCTTGTACAGTTTCTGATGAGAAGTCTGATAAAGTCCTTTTCTTTGTTCCTCTGTACGTAATGTGGCTTTTTTTCTCTAATAACCTTAATTTTTTTTAATCTTTGGTTTTTATCACTTTGAATATGATGTGTCTAGGTTTTTTGCTTGTTTGTTTGTTTTGTTTTAATTTATCCTGCTTGGCGTGCTCTGAGATTCCTGTGTCTGTAATTGATACATTTTATTATTTTTAGAAAATTCTTGGCCTTTATCCCTTCAAATATTTCTTCTGTTCCATTATGTCTCTCTTCTGGATTTCCAAGTACATGTATATTAGGCAATTTGTTTTTGTCCCACAACTTTTGGGTGCTCTGTTCAGTTTTTCCACTCTTTTTTTTTCCTCTTTGTTATGCAATTTGGGTAATTTCTATTGCCCTATCTTCAAGGTCAATGATTTTATCCAAGCTATGTGCAATCGATGAGCTTGTTGGAATCATTCTTCATCTCTGTAGCTGTTTATTATTATTTCTACTATTATTTGTAGCATTCTGATTTGATTCTTTCTTTTGGTTTCCATTTATTCTGTCGTTGAAATTCCCTATTTGTTCATGCCTGTTGCCCACCCTTTTCACTAGAGCTTTGTCTTAGCTTTGTCTTTAACAGTTTGAGCTGTTATACAAAACTATCATGGACCAAGCGGCTTAAACAACAGAAATCTATTTCTCGCAGATGGAGGCTGGAAGTCTGAGATCAGGGTGCTGGCATGGTTGAGCTCTGGTGAGGGCCCTCTTTCTTGTTTTCAGAAAGCCTCCTCCTTGCTGTATCCTCACATGGCAGAGAGAGTGAACTCCGGCCTTTTCATCCTCTTATAAGGGCACCAATCCCATCACAGGGGCTCCACCTGCCTCGTATAAATTTAATTACCTCCCAAAGCCCCACTACCAATTACATCACAATATGAATTAGAGCTTCAACATGTGGATTTTGGGGGCACACACACATTCAGTCTACAGCAAGCTTTAATATATTGATCACAGTTATTTTAAATTCACTGTTCAATAGTTCCATCTGTGTCATCTCCAAGTCTAGTTCTGTTGATTGCTTTGTCTTGCCATTTTTTCTTGTTTTTTTGTGTGTCTCATAATTTTTTTTTTTTTTGGCTAGGTTATGCAGCAACTCTAACATATAGTCCATTTCTTCCTTCATCAGGCCCAGCATGGCCCCAGCTGGGTTATGCTGTGACTCAACCTTGGCTATCGGCCTGGTAGCCAGGATGGGGACAGCTCTTAGGGGCACCTGTTGCCTTATGGGGGAAAGATCTCTATATCACTTCCATCTTTCCCATCTTTCCTGTTAATGTGGGGGAAAAGAGAGAGGGTAGTTCTAGTTCTTAGCGGGAGAAGGGTGGGCCTCTTCAGCAGGCCTAGAATTTCAGAAACTTCTAGGGAGTCAAAATTGTTGGGGGCATCCGCCAGATGTCCCTGTCTCAGGTTCAAGGTTTGGTCCCGACCTTGACATAACAGACCTGGCTTGGTTGGATATTTGTTGGCAGTGAGCTACTTTTATCATCAAATCCTCTGCTTGAACTTCAGCTTTTTCTTTTTTATTGAGATGTAATCAACACACAACATTACATTTGTTATATGTGTACAACACAATGATTTGATACACATATATATTGGGAAATGATTACCACAATAAGTTTAGCCAATATTCATTACCACACACAGTTATAAATTTTTTTTCTTATGATGAAAACTTAAGATCTACTCATCTTAGCAATGTTCAAATATACAATAAAATTACTAATTATAGTCACCATGCTGTATGTTACATCCCCAGGACTTATTTATTTTATAGCTGGAAATTTGTATCTTTTACCACCTTCACCCATTTTGCCCACCTCCCACACCCCCCACCCCTTGCTTATGGCAACCACCAATCCGTTCACTGTATCTATGAGTTCTTTTTTTTCTTTTTTTTAGATCCCACATATAAGTGAGTTCATAAGGTATTTGTCTTTCTCTGTCTGAATTATTTCACTTAGCATAATGCCCTCAAGGTCCATTCATGTTGTTGCAAATGATAGAAATTTCCCTCCTTTTTTATGGCTGAATAATATTCCACTGTGTACATGTACTATATTTTCTTAATCCATTCATCTGTTGATTTAAACACTTAGGTTGTTTCCATGTCTTGGCTGTTGTAAATAATGCTACAATGAACATGGGGGTATAGATGTCTTTTTGAGTTAGTGTTTTCATTTTCTTCAGATAAATACCCAGAAGTGGAATTGCTGGATCATAAGATGATTCTATTTTTAATTTTTTGAGGAACCTCCATACTGTTTTCCATAGTGGCTGCACCAATTTACATTCCCCCCCAACAGCACGCAAGGGTTCCCTTTTCTCCACATCCTTGCCAATACTTGTTATCTCCTGTCTTTTTGATAATAGCCATTCTAACAGGTGTGAGGTGATATCTCATGATGGTTTTGATTTGCATTTCCCTGATGGTTAGTGATGTTGAGCACCTTTTCACATATCTGATGGCCATCTATATGCCTTCCTTGGGGAAATGTCTATTCAGATCCTCTGCCCATTCTTTAATCAGATTCTTTGTGTTTTTGCTATTGTTATGTCTCATAATTTTTTAATCGATTGTCAGACAGTATATAGAACGGTAAAAACTGATGTAAATATTTATGTCTGGAAATAGAAATTCCTCTTCTGCTGCTGGTCCATTACTGGGGCCAATCTAGTGAAGAGCCAGCTCATTTTTTGTTGTTGTTGCTATGGTTACATTCACTATATCACTAACTTCAAAATCTTTTGGTGTTTAGAAGGGAGGTTAGTTTGCTAGAGAGTTTTTCTCAATGTTCACTTTCCACCCTCAGCTTTAGGCCTTCCCTGTGTGCCTGCACATCAGAAAGTGTCTCTTTCCATGCTTTTGCCCACCCTAAGTGGTAGAATGCTGTTACTTATTACTTCTTGCTCCCTAGCCTGGTCATGGGGAGGCCGTGATGGTTTCCATTGTCCTGGTTGAGACTCAGTCTTTGGCAGGCCCTGTGCCCTTAGGTCTGGAGATGGAGATTTCTCAGTGATCCTGCCCTTTCCCAGTGATAGGAGACCTCTAATTGTTTGGGTCCAGGTTGGTTTCCTGTCCTCCAGGAATAGAGTTTTTCTTTTTCATTCATTTTTCCTATACCCAGTAGCAAGGGGTCTTCTCCTATACCTTGGGAGTGACGGAGTTTGGTGTTCTTACTTTAGTAGGGTGACCAACCCCTCTTGGTTTTCCTGGGACTGTCCTGGTTTTAGCACTGAAAGTCTTACATCTTAGGAAATACCTCAGTTCCAGGGAACGGCTCAGTTCATCATCCTCTCCTCTAATCGTTTAAAGCATTTATTTCTCAGGAATAAAAGGACTAGGTGGGGCATTGTGCCTTTCTTACAGTGGTGACTGCTACCTTCCTCCAGGCCTGCACAAGTAAGGAAAACTATTTCCAGTCTCTTCTCTGCTCAAATCTTTCTTATAATCAGCTAGTAATGTCCATGGAAAAGAGCCTGCTATTGGATGCAAACTTCTCTTGTGTCTGCAGCTTCCAGGTATTTTTATGTTTATTCTAGCTCACACTCAGCCTTTAGGAATTCACCGGAAATTTAGCTGAATTCTAATTATCTGCTTGTCTGTAGGCCCCAGCTTCCTTCTGTGCTCTGCTGCAGGTGTGTAAAGTTAGGCACCTGCTCTGCTTTATATAAAGGCCTGCAATGCCTCAGATGCCTTCTCTCCGCTCCCATCTCTGCTCTCAGTCTCTGATGTGTTGTCCCTGACCACATGGTCAAGTCCTATAGAAAGAGTTGGCAGTTGGAGAAAGACTTACTCTGAGGCCACAGTTTCTCAGAATTCTAATCTATCAAACCAGCCCACACACATCCATTAAAAATGCATTAAAATTTCTGTTGATTTCTCATTTTTCTCTATGGGGGTTTCTTTTTTTTTTTTTTTTTGGTGAGGAAGATTGGCCATGAGCTAACATCCATTGCCAATCTTCCTCTTTTTTTGCTTGAGGAAGAGCGGCCCTGAGCTAACACCTGTGCCCGTCTTCCTCTGTTTTGTATGTGAGATGCCGCCACAGCACAGCTTGATGGGTGGTGCGTAGGTCCACACCTGGGATCCGAACCTGCGAACCCCAGGCAGCTGCGGCAGAGAACGCGAATTTAACCGCTATGCCACTGGGCAGGCCCCCGGGGGTTTCTTTTTTGCTGCTTTATCATAACTGCAAGTCACTGCATAGGAGAGAAAATTTCCTTTCTACTATGAGGAGCTTGTCACTCACTGGTTTAATTCATTTAGATTCTTTGCATTCTTGGCAATCTAACGAATTTATAAAGACAAAAGCACAATTGATTTTGTAGTTTATCCGGATAATTTTAGTTATTAGAATGAGAACGATGGTCAGTTTTGTGGTTTTCTCCACACTAACCAAAAGGAGAAGGATAGTCCTTAATTTTTAAGAAGAAGGTTATAAAAAGCTAAGCAAGGGGCTGGCCTGGTGGCGCAAGCGGTTAAGTGCGCGTGCTCCACTGCGGCAGCCCGGAGTTCACCGGTTCAGATCCCGGGTGCGCACTGCTGCAAAGCTTGGCAAGCCATGCTGCGGCAGCGTCCCATATAAAGTGGAGGAAGATGGGCATGGATGTTAGCCCAGGGCCAGTCTTCCTTGGCAAAAAAAGAGGAAAAAAAAAAAAGCTAAGCAAGACTTCTGTGTACCTGAAGGGCTTGTCAGATTCTAGTTTTGCTTAGGACTGGGTAAATCCTAACTATGAAGCTGTGAGTACTTTTTCTATAGGGAGTAATACATGTGTCAACCTCCTTGCTCTCCTCAAGATTTTATTCTCATTCTTTTGAGAAGATCCATCTATTTATTTTTTATGCTCTATTGGAGGTAAATTTTTAGATGCTAGAAATTCTGCTTGAAGGACTTGGGGAGGGGATTAATAATGGAGTCACCTGTTGCATATATATATATACACACATACATGTACACACATTGAACAAATCCTCGTATTTTCACCCTCCCATCTCACACCTATCCTCCACTGCACCTGAGTTTTCAAGGGTTCTGGGTGGCAGATTGTGATATCCTCCTTGGGTGTGTTGATACCATTCATGCATATTTTGGCTGCTGCTTCCTCAACCCTGGTTCATTTTTATTATAAAACTTATCAACTTACTGTATATCTTCCAGAAATTTGTTGAAAGCTCTCAAGCGTCTTGCAGTCAAAGATTATAGCAGGATATTTGCTAAATAACTGGAGCATTAGAGCCAGATCCCAAGCATTCCTGGTCCAGTTCACCTTTCATTAACCTTATCACTGCCTTATTTCATTCTCCCATATTTCTTTCTATTTCAAGGTTGTACTGAAGACATTACTGAAGAATCGTTCAAAGTGCCACACTGCGACAATGATTCAGCTGACGGCTACCCCTGCAAGTGCACTTGTCGATGAGCCAGTGCATATCCGAGCTACAGGCCTGACTCCCTTTCAGATAGTGCTTCTGCAGGCCTCGCTAGAAGATGAAATGGGGAACTTGTTTCATTCCCAAGCCTACTATAGGGCCAATGAAGTTGGTGAGGTGGACCTGGAGCATGCTTCTTCACTTGGAGGTGATTATGTAGGAGTCCACCCCATGGGTCTCTTCTGGTCCCTGAAACCTGAAAAGATATTAACTAGACTGTTGAAAAGAGATGTGATGAATAGCCCCTTCCAGATTCAATTAAAACTCTATAATTCAAATGTAATCTTAATCGACAATGCCTCCCCTGCTCCAAATGTCAGCCTGACTTTGGAGAGGTGGTACGCAGCACCTGGTGTCACACGAATCCAAGTCCGAGAAGGCCGCCTTCGGGGAGTCCTCTTTCTCCCTCCAGGTGAGTAGAATTACCCTGGTTATTGTCATCCTTTTTTCTCTTTTAATTGCCTTATCCTTCTAGAAGTTTAACCCGGACATGGATAATACCTAGAGCAGTTCTTTCTTGTCTTAGAATCATGATTCACTTTGGGTCAGAACAAGAATGTGGTGATACTCCATTCCAACTCAAGTTTCATCTCAACAATCCTGGAGCTTATCTAAGGATATGACATATAGCTTATAGAGTCCTTGCATTATGGGATTTCCATAGTTTTGGATTTATGTGAAATCTATCTGTATTGAAGCCTGGCTATCTGGAGACCTACATCCTGATATCATGAAACTGTGTCTCAGCTTATTTTGGGGGTTCTGTCATATCTGAGTCTCAATTTAGGCACAGATCATTGCACAATTGCCACAATAAACTGATGATATAACGGACTTAAATATTGCAAGAAATATAGAGTATGCAAAGAAAATTTATACTCTCTAGTTCCAGAAATATTTCATATTTATAAAATATTCCAAAAATCAGCAGATAATACAACATACTCCCTAATGGCTATAAAACTTACCAGAACACTCATAGTTTCCCACAGTGATCTCCACATATCAATAAGTGATTCAAAACATCTATTGCTACATTTCTCGGAGTTTATTGTGAACGAAGCAAGGTTAATTTCCCAGAAGTAGCCCTTGGCAGGTCCAGGTTTCAGGTATTTCTGAGATCCCCTTCTTCTGATATGTGCTTTGGTCTGGGACACAGCCATCACATCATCAGGATGCATTGCCTCTCTCTGTTTGTTTTTTTTTTTAAATAGTCACTTTCTAGAACTGAGATGGGTTGAGGAAACCTGAATTGTTAGAGGTGGTTTCTGACAGCATAGAGTTCTAGATGGTGTAGAAGGAATAAAAGCTTCCCTTTCCGAATTCACCATGACCCATGCACTTGTTTAGATAAATTTGAATTTTTTTACACCTAGTAATTAGCATATAAACCACTGTATTTTGTGTAGGGATCAGGAAGTAGGTGGCACAAACTTCTGTGCCTTATGATCCCAACTCAGTTAAAAACCTGAATACTAGTGCAGGCTCTCCACCTTGGGTGATGTGCTCATTCAGGGTGTACTGTCTGTGAACCCTTTCGGACTTTGCACATGCCGGGTCTCCTGCTTAAGGTGCTTGTTCTGTGGGGGTACAAAAGACGGGTTGAGTTGTGTGAGACAAAAAGAGGTTGAGTCAGATCTCTTGTATTGCCTGGTAAAGAAAGGGCATGTGTAGGACTGGGGATCAGCACAGTAAGCTGTCTCCGAGGAGGGAAAAATACTAATGTAGCAGATTAAAGCTGTGGGCATTGCCCCATTTGAGTTAGATTATCTGTGACTCCGGAAGTTATGGGTTGGGCACTGTGGCAGAGACAACAGAAGCAGAGAGTACCCCTAGGATTTTGGTCCCAGCTCTGGGAGGCGACAGAAATCTGAAATACCTCCACAGAGCAACAGCTCCTAGCAGTGTACACAGTGCTCCTCCAGGTAGAGCCTCTCATGAAGGAATAGCACATCATGGTAAGAACTTCCTGTCCTATCAAGGGGTAGGTTAAGTATATTTTTCAAGGGTAGGTTGAGAATATGTTCCATTGACCCACCGCTGCCATGGCTCAAACAGCTACTTTGCTTAAGTGGCATGCCTATTTGCAGCAGAGGAGCAGTGTATCGGCCAGCCCACTGTCTCTAGAAATGCGGATGCTCCTAGGCCCTGTAGAGCATATGAATCCTCCAAATGTCCCCACCCCTATTCCTGTGATGGCCCCTGCGGCCTGCAGAGAGAGAATGGGGGTAATTCCCACTGATGCCTGGAAACCGAAACAAACCACAGCAGCCAGTGGGCTGAACGCAGAGCAGTTTGGCTGGTGAGCCCTGGCTGTTAGCCCTTTGCATTGACCGTTGGGCTGTTCTAAAGAGACTAACGCTATGGCTTGGACAATGTAAAGCTGAGGAGTAGATGATCATAAATAAGCCTTTGTGGGATCAGGTATGTAGAAAGACATTTGGGTTCGCCTACAAAAGCTGAGGCAGCTCTCACCATCTTCCATACCCCAGTGCATAAGGTGCTGACACTCCCTGGCAGTCAAGAAGCTGATGCCCTAGTCTGGCTATGAGCCCTAGCAAATGACACTTCAGTAGATATAGCAGATTGGGTGCATAGAAAGAGCAGCCTCTGTAGCAACCAGGTGGGATCATGTATTGCCAAGGATGCTGGACTGACCTTGAAATACACTGATTTGGTTAATGTAGTGACAGCATGTCATGTGTATTCTAAACAATGCCCAAGGCAACTGCCAAAGGAGTCTCGGGCCTTTCACTAGAGTTCCTAACTGGTGAGGGACAGACAAATTGATTATATTGGCCCCCTGCCTCCAAGTGAGGATTCTAAATATGCCTTGGTTTGTGTGGACACTGTGCCTGACCTAACCCAAGCTTTCCCCTGTTGCCATGCAAACCAGGCTGCCACCATTAGGAGATTAGAGAAGCTGAGTAGCATATATAGATACCCTCATTGACTAGACAGTGAATAGAGGGCAAATTTCAAATATCATGATATACAAGATTAGGCAAAAGAACATCGAATGGAGATTCCATCTCCCCTATAATTCGCAAGCAGCAGGGCTAGTGGCGAGGAAAAATGGAAAAAGCAGTATATTACTAAATTACCAACAGGAAAAACCACCTTGACTGGGTGGACTAAAGTACTGTCCTAGTCTTTAATAGATTTGAATGATCAACCAGTAGGGCCTGCTGTCCTATATGCCAGACTGGGGACCCCTGCTGAGGCACCCAATACCATAAGGTATGGAAGTTACAGGAAATAGTCATTGCCCTGACTCTCACCATGGATCAAAGTGCTATGCTGCTGAGAACACCAAGCAATATCACACCTGGAGAGGCATTATCTACTCGAATTTGCAATAGGATGTCCCACCTGGATGGGTGAGTTACTTCACGCCCCTGGGTGAGGGGGAACTACTCAAACGCCACTGGGATTCCATTGTCCTGCTGCAAGCTGGACCTGTTGAAATGCACTATCCCTGGAATGGAACATGCACCATTGAGAGAAGGGAGAAGGTGGGGGCGGTCCCAGTCTGGCATATCCTGCCCCCAGTCCATCTCCTCATGCCTGACAGTACTGCCTCCCTCAGCCAACATGTATAGTATGCACAACCCGGTCAAGTTCCGAAAGCTGCCAACCTCCCTCTCCTCAAGGCCGAATGGGCACATTCTGTTTTCCACTGGGATGATCATTTGACCACCATCTTTATCCCCTTCATTGGCCTGGGAGATGTTATAGCACACACAGAAGCCCTTACTAAACTCACCCAGCAAGCCTTAAATGATAGCCAACAAAGTATGTCCTTACTGAACACTGAAATGCCTCTAATGAGAAAAGCTGTCTTCCAAAATAGGATGGCCTTGGACAGTATCACTGCTTTGCAAGGAGGCACCTGTGCCATTATCCAAACAGAATATCTGATGAGTCTGCTAATGTATTATCTTTATTAAATCATATGAAGACACAAGTGAATGCCTTGAGTGATCTGACCCCCACCCTAGGGGACTTAATAAATCAGTGGTTTGCATGATGGGGCTCTGGGTGGAAAAAATTGTTACTTGTTTTGGGGATCATTGTCTTAATCTGCGTTTTCTCTTGCATGTGCCTATACTGTTGCTGTGGTATCTGCCTCCAGTACAGCCAGATAGCTGCCAAACTAGCCACCTCCATGCTAGTGAAACCCCTTGTTGACCACTCAGGGCACATTGCAGGAGAGGGAGACATGTAAGATTGTAAGAGCTGGTTGTGAGTGGTGGAGTGTTGGAGGAGGTCATCAAAAGGACGTGACTTCTGGTTAACCTGTGAGCCGGACCCCAGCAATTAGAGGCTCCTCACTCCCGTCTCTGTCCTTAGAATGTATGCTCTGCCTACCATTCCCATAGTAGGAGCTGTTCTAAGGACACAGCCTTAAGAGAGTAAGGTGTTGATGAGACCATCTGGATGGTAGATGTAACTGAACACAGTTAAAGCCACTATATAAACTCTTAAGATTCTGACGGGCAGATGCCGAGACCTACTCGTCTTGCAGCCTCCCAAGACAAGCCTTGTAAATAAGTTCCCTTACTTATTAAACCTGCCACCTACCAATCTGGAGTGGTCTGCCTCTTTCTTCGGTCTCTCCTTGCCCTGCATGAGTATGGGGGCTAGTTTGTGAGCCAACAATAATCATTTTAATACCTTTTTCTTTGAAGCCTTATACTTTTGAAGCCTTTTTTTTGAGCCATATACCTCTTTGAGAACCCGATTAAATCTGTTGATCCTCTCATCAGTAAAATGCACATATAAACGTACATTTTTTACATATAATTTCAGGACCTTCATTGATTTTCTGGAGCCTATTTGTGTACCTCTCTACAGGTTAAGAAGCCCTGGCCTAACTTCTATGTCTTTCTTTACTCCAAGACTATAGCAATGAACCACTATGAGTCCCCACTTCTCCTTGGCTGCAGAGATTAAACACATCAGTGAACGTGGTTCCCAATCAAACTTTTGGATACTGTGTTCCATTATATATTCAATCAGTTTTAATTCTGCCCCAGATACAAGGCTGAAAATTTGGGGATTCTATTGAAAATGTATACATTAATTCCAAAATTTGTGACACATTTCTTCTCTGTGTTGTCATATTTTTCTTCTCTTTTCCTCACCTCCCCTTTGTACTCAATTCTGTTTTATTTTTACATTATTTATGTTTTTCAGGAGATGGCTGTTTCCCCGGAGTAATTGATTTGTTTGGTGGTTTTGGTGGACTTACTGAATTCCGGGCCAGTCTCCTGGCCAGTCATGGCTTTGCTGCCTTGGCCTTGGCTTACCGTGACTATGAAGACCTGCCTTCCAAACTAGAGAAAGTAGATTTGGAATATTTTGAGGAAGCTGCCAACTTTCTCCTGAGACATCCTAAGGTAATTTTTGCCCTTTCATTAGATTTCATTTCCTGTTTTTTAATAATCATAATATTCTGTGACTTCCCTTAACTTCCAAGTATGAGTCTCCCTCAGTGAACCTGAAAAGTCTATTACATATCTATATTATGCACAATTTATTTTGCATCCAGTGTCTTTGGCTCAGAAAGACAAAATGCATAGAAAGTTAGCCTGTGTCCATCATGGAATCAAAAGTCATTGGCTTTGGATTCAGACAGAAAAGGGTTGCATTTCTGGCTCCAGCTCATCAGGTTGTGAGAATTTGGGCAAGTTACTAAGACCCTCTAATGCTCAGTTTCTTCATCTATTAAGTAATAGTGTAGTGATACTACTTCGTAAGGTTATTGTGAGAATTAAAGGGGGTAGTACCAGCAAAGTGCTTACTAGAGTAACTGGCAATACTAAACGCTCAATAAACATGAGCAATTGTTGTTACTATCATCTTCTCTGATAATTATTAAATCACCACACTTAACCAGACAGATAATCTGTATTTCTTTGAAGAGTGGGTCTAAGTTTTTAGTTACTTGGGAGGCCTTAAACATAATGCTGTGCTATTCCAACTCACATACCCTTTTTAAATTTTAAAGTGTGCTTTGCTGCTATAATAGGATTGATGCGTGTTATTCCTCTTTAATCGCTAATATTTTTTTCTTAGTAAGAATTGATCTAAGTAAAATTAAGGGTCTATACTACATCCTTTTTCATATAAATGTCACCAAAATATGGTCAGAATTGCAATAGTAAGATGAACAACAATTGCTGACAAGCTACTGGTGCATTGAATTTTTAAATTGCTATTTTTGATGCATATTATGGAATTGTCCTTGAATTATTAAATAGTTTTCCTCTTACCCTAAGAATTTCTCACATTTCTGTTAGCTGGATACAAGTGGTACATTCATTCATATTTTTCCAAATAGTAAGAACAAAACCCCAAACATTAGTTAATAAAATGCCTGTTTTCCTAAGAAAATATCAGGGATCAATTAAGACTTTAGAAGAAACGTGGCTCTCTGAAACTCTATCCTCGCCTGAATCTGGTGCTCACGGAGAATCAAGGCTTTATTTTGTGCCATAAAAACTAATCGTGTTTAACTCCTTCTTCTCGCTTGCTCTCCCATACCCAACTGGTGATTGGGAACTGAACACTCATAAATAACTCATAAACATGTTGTTTTCTTTTTATCAGGGCATCCTCATTTCTTCCCCGCACCATTGCAATAGGCTCTGGCCTTTCTGCCTCCATTTTGCAAGTCAGAGTTGTAAGATCGGTCTTTCTAGAGCAGAGCCTTTTTACTCACTTGCTTAAGAGTCTCCCAATTTACTACAGGATAAAAGTCAGGTTTCCTAGCATGTAAGATAAAACTTTCCATGATCTAATCTCTGCATACTTCTTCAACCTTATCTTATGCCTATCCTTAAAACCTGTCCTAATTCTCCTCTGTAGTTGGGAAAAGAGTCAAGGCCACTTAGCGTGTCCTTCAAAGTTATTCACTATCAGTTTGCTGTTTTCTTTTCCAGCCTTTTTTTGCTACCTCTCATCTTATACTCTAAACTCAAGTAATGAAGAACTATCTGTGGTTCCCTAAACGCATTGCTTCTGGGTTTTTGCACATGCTCCTCCTATGGTGAATTCATTAGGAATGTTTTGACTATGTTTCCCAGAGAAATGGCTGATGGTGGCTTAAACGACATCAACATAAGGCATTTTATTCTCTCATGTAACAGATCTGGAGATAGATGGTTCCAGCTTTAGTTCAGAAACTTAGTGGAGTTTTCAGTGGAGGAGACTGGTTTGATGTTTCTGAAACTTCTGGGCCTTCTCCTGAGGGTCGCAAGATAGCTGTGGCAGTCTCAGGCATTAAGCCAATATGCCAGTGTCATAAGCAGGAAAGAATGGTCAGGAATCTAGGCTTTCTCCTCATGATTCTATGCCATTTTATGTGGGGGAAATCTAAGACCCTAGGTTGAAGGTACTGGCCTTACAAGAGAGGCTGAAAAAGTATGTAGCAAAAGGGGATAGGTTCAGATCCACCAGAATTTATCCCTTGGGACTGGATTCACTGCTATGCCCCACAAAATGAAGGTCATGTTAGCTTTGAAATTGTGGAGCATGGTTCCTGTATAGGCAGTTGACCATGTCTGCTTCACTCAGCATAGAATACCATTCCTTCTAGTTTGCTCTCATTTTTTAATGTAAAAAGTCAACTCGTAGCCCATTTCCTGTGAGAATCTTTCTTTGATCTTGCCTTTATTCTCTGCCAATCTGGGTTTGCCGTCTGGCCTATTGCATTCTTATGTCATAGAATTTATAAGATCCTCCAATCGCCTGTTTTTTCCCTCCTTCTCTTCATCTGGCAGGGAGGTCCTTGATGATAAGAGATTATGCCTTTCCTCTCTGTCTCCCAGTGCTTAGGACAGGATGGATGATTTAAAAATGCTTGTTTGATGATGGACAGTGATGGAAGAAGCTGAGCCAAGCCTCCTTTACGAAACCTTTCTCTTAAGGAGAAAGCTTTTGGAGAAACCAAAGGAAGTCTAGAATCCTCTGTTCAAGTTTCCATGCTCTATCCTATTAATCTCACCTTTTTCTCAATGTTTTCCTACAGAATGCCCTTTTTCCTGAACTTCTAGAGATCTCAGAATTGGTGCAACAAAGTTAACCAATCGATTGTACCCTGATTCATATTATTCACAATAGTTACATGCCTTTTTCTTATTTTCCCTACTACATTGGTGTTTCTTTTGGGCATTTTAAACTCAGCGCCTAACACAATGCTGAATCCATAGTACTCAGTGAGTAAAGCCTGACGTATTCTTGAAGGAGTATTTCCTTTGAACATACATTGTGTATTTCAGAACTCTAGACCTGGGTATGTGGGTGGGATTAGCACTTACTTTGTCCCCACTTGCCATTGAAGTTCTTTGGTTGTTTGAGATTGTAGAGTTTTGTTAAATAATGCATAGAATCAACATCTCATTTCCACTATTTTCAGGTCCTTGGTCCAGGCATTGGGATAGTCTCCATATGCAAAGGAGCAGAGATTGGACTCTCCATGGCTATTCACCTAAAACAAGTCACAGCCACGGTGCTTATTAATGGGCCCAACTTCATTCTTGAAATTCCACAGGTATATCGTGGTCAGATACATCAGCCCTTGCCCATCTCTCCACAATTACTATCCATCAGTGCCTTAGGGTTATCAGAGTTTCAGCACATTTTTGAGGCAACTAGAGCTAAGGCCAATCAGACATTTTTTCTCCCCATTGAAAAAGCCCAGGGACATTTCCTCTTCATTGTGGGAGAAGATGATAAGAATATCAACACTAAAGCATGTGCTAAGCAAGCCACAGAACAGCTGAGGAGAAATGGGAAGAAGAATTGGACCCTGTTATCTTATCCTGGGGCAGGCCACCTGATAGAACCTCCCTATTCCCCACTGTGCTGTGCCTCACAGATCTCCAGTCTTCACCTCTTGGTGCTCTGGGGAGGAGAGGTGATCCCACATGCAGCTGCACAGGAACATTCTTGGAAGGAGATCCAGAAGTTTCTCAGGAAGCACCTCATTCCAGTTGTGACCAGTCGACTCTGAGAAAAGTCAACATTCCTGGAAAATAGAAAAGCAATAGGGTGCTTTACCAGACCTTCACCTGATCTTCACGGAACAATGTCTTTGAGCTCTTATTGTAAGAAGAAGTTATAGCAAGAGAAGGCAGGAGGACTGAGAATGGTCATGTCTTGACTTTGGAAAGGGAAAAATGGTTTCCATTTAATCCGATATCATACACTGAGGGTTCGCATTTTTAGAAATAAACTTAGAGCTCTACTTTCCTGAAAATATTCCAGTCTACAATTATAGCAATTCTCTAGGGAAAAAAATGACCAAAAATGAACCACAGACTCCCGTGGTTTGTAAAACAGGCATGAATAGAACCAGGTGCTGATATTCTTTGATTTCTTAAAACTCAAATTAAATATGCTTAGATCTCTCATATTTGAAAATATGCTCATGGTTCATGGTTAGTTCATTGTTATTGGAAAACTAGAGCTGGGTAAAAAAGTATTATTGTAAGGTAATATGGAAGCTGATATGGCGATAACAACATTGAATCAGTCTGCAGTCAATAATTCCACAAATACTAATAAAATAAAGTAATTTTTGTGTCTAAATGTACACCATTTTGAGAGAGGAGCAATCTGAAATTAAAGAATTGCAATTTGGGAAAGCAGCCATGATGGTGTGGATTGTACACCTCTAGATTAGGGACTGGCAAACTCTTTCTGTAAAGTACCAGATAGTAAATGTTTTTGGCTTTGTGGGCCGTAAGGTCTCTGTCACTATTATTCAGCTCTGCCATTATAGCGCAAAGGAGCCATAGATAGGATGTAATGAATAACTGTGGCTGAATAAATAATTAAACTTTATTTAAGGACACTGAAATTTGCATTTAATATAATTTTTACGTGTGAAAAAATAGTAATTTTCTTTTTATTTTTTATTTATTTGTTGTTGTTGAGGAAGATTGGCCCTGAGCTAACATCTTTTGCCAATCTTCCTCTTTTTTTTACTTTTTTCTCCCCAAAGCCCAAAAGTACATAGTTGTGTATCCTAGTTGTAGGTCCTTCTAGTCCTTTTATGTGGGGTGCCACCTGAGTAGGGCTTGGTGAGCAATGAATAGGTCCACGCCCAGGATCTGAACTGGTGAACCCTGGGCTGCCAAAGTGGAACGTGCAAACTTAACTGGCCCCTCTTTTCATTTTTTTCCAAGCATTTACAAATGTAAAAACCATTCTTAGCCCATGGGCAGCAAAAAAAACAGGCTGTAGGCTGGATTTGCCTTGCAAGACATAGTTTGATGATCTTAGGTGTAGAGCAACCCAAATTACCTTGTCCAAGTTCAAATTTGAGACTTCTTCTCTAAGGGGCAAGTCACAGCCCAAATAGTCCTGAGCAACTGAATTGTGATGGATGGAAGTGGTAGGTGACTGCTGGATAATCAAGGTGAAGATGAACCAGTAGGAAAGTATTTTGAATCATTTTGTAGGTATGATGGGGAGGCGATGAGGAGTTAGATTAATAGAAGTAATATGAGGACACTTCAGTTGTATTTGCCTAAACTTTTTCTTTTATCTGCCTTCCGATATTCTTTGTTTAGAGTGAAATCATTCCACTCAGTGTGAGTGGAGCTGTTAGCCACTCTTGTCTCTCACTTATAAGTTTTCACATTTCCCAGACCTGGCCAATCAGAATACCTCACTCCTTTGACTATAATAATCATGTAATTGCAATGGCTAATATTTCCTATGCTATATTCTATATAATAGTTATATATGTTATATGCTATATGCAATATGCTATATAATAGTTATCATAATAGGTGTAATGGGTATAATTTTTCTTGTTTCGTGTTCTGGACTTTAGGAAGAATGCCTCTATCTATGAGGTGTGATGTTGGTGTTAGGCCTGATATATATCCCTCAATTTATATTTTATGGATCTTTCTTTTAAACCAAGAAGGTTTTGCATTTTTTTCAAGTGTGTCAGCATCACTAGAAAGGGTTGTATGGTTTTTCTCTGTAGATCGATTTATGTGATGAATTATTTTTCTAGTATTGAATCATCTTTGTATTTATAGAATAAAACTCACTTGTTCATGATGTATTCTTAATTAACATTAATAAATAAGATTGAACGACTTTTGTGTGTGGGTTTTCTTTTTTGGCCAAGTATTGTATCAGTGTTGTACTTGTTTCATAAAAAGAATTCAAAAGTTTTCCTTCTTTCCTATAGTAGCTTACTTAGGACAAAAACTATCTCCTCTTTAAAAGCTAGTAGCTCTATCCTGGGTATTCTATTGTTCCTGGTAATTTTTTTTTAAAGATAACCTAGATTTTTATTGATGTTTAATATATTATATCTTGTCTATATTATAGTGGATACTTTCAATCCAAAACAGTTCTTTATATTTTTTAACATTTTATATAGCAGAAAAATCAGAAATATTTAAAATTAAGTTAAACTATATGACAAAATCTAAAAAAACTACCCTCCAATTCTGGCACGTTATGTTGCTAGAGTTAAAACAGAAATGAATTCCATACTACTTTTATTTAATTTTTAAAATTATATGAACAAAATTTTGTAGAGGTCTGGCATATCTTTTTATTGTGGTAAAACAGACAAAACATAAAATTTACCATTTTAACTATTTTTAGGTGAATTTATGCTGAACACTATGGTGGCATTAAATACTTTCACATTGTGCTACCATCACCACCATCCATCTCCAGAACTTTTTCATCTTCCCAAAGTGAAACTCCATATTGTTTAAACAATAACTCTCCATTTCCTCCTTACCCCAGTCCCTGACAACCACCTTTCTATTTTCTGTTTCTATGAATTTAATTACTCTAGGGACCTCATATAAGTGGAGTCATACAATATTTGTCCTTTTGTGCCTGGCTTATTTCACTTAGCATAGTGTCTTCAAGGTTCATCCACGTTGTAGCATGTGTCAGAATTTCCTTCCTAAGACTGAATAATATTCCACCGTATGTAGAAATACTTAGCATTTTGTTTATCCATTCATCCATCGATGGACATCTGGGTTGGCAATTGTGAATAATACTGCTATGAATACTGGTGTATAAATGTTTGTTTGAGTCCCTGTTTTCAATTATTTTGGATGTGTACCTAGAAGTGGAGCTTCCGTGTAATTTTTTGAGGAACTGTGATATTGTTTTCCACAGTGGCTACATCATTTTACATTCCCACCATCAATGCACAGTTGTTCCAACATCTCCACATCCTCACCAACACTTATTAGTTTCAGTTCTTTTGATAGTAACCATTGTGGTGGGGCATACCTTAAGATTGATATGCTTACCTGAGCAACCTTAATTCATCCTTACAAATCATATTCACAGCAGTCAGTATTCTCTACGCAAGACAACACAAATATGGCAAGTGAGAGGGCTTTATTCAGTGGAGGCAATCCCTGTAGAGGGCCGACTGACTGCTGAGCACAGTACTCCCAGTGGCTGGATCACAAATCCTTTGTTCCAGAAGGAGGATCTGCATGCAGCATCACTGTGTCACCACAATGGCTTTCTGTGTTCTGCCTCTTATGGGTGCCCCTCTCTATTCTGGAAATTTCTCCCTCTGCCTCACGTGGAGATTGACCTCCTCAAAGCCATTCCTCTCCCAGTGAGGCTGACTCTTTCTGGGAGTGAATATTTGGTTTGTTAGATTTAGCTGGCTTGTAGTTTCACTGCAAGTGTAGTGCTTTTTTTGTTGTTGCTCCCCATTCTGTTTGTAACTCATTGATTTTTGGGAGAAGGAAAGATTTAGAACTAAACTGCCACCATATTCCTATTGAAACTAAAAGTTAAGAAAATTCTTATAATTATCTTTGATTTTTTTCAAATCTTTCGAATGAATCTTCACAATAGTCAGATTGTTTTCAGAAACTTCTGGTCGGTTCATAACCTGGTAGTTCAAGAGATGAGAAGAATCTGCTATATCATGATCAAGGGGTTAGTTCACAGTTCCAGTTTTGCAATTGCCATATTTGTGTTGTCTTGCGTGGAGAATACTGAGTGCTGTAAATTTGATTTGTAAGGATAAATTAAGGTTGCTCAAGTAAGCACATCAGTCTGCAGGATATACTAACTTGTATGTCCAGTCCGAATCATGCATACCATCATGGAGATGATTCCTCACGTCTCTCAAGTCTCCCTTCAAATCTCACATTCTTAATGAAGGCTACTCTGACCTCCTAATTAATATTGCTTGAACATCCTCCCATCTCTGCCACCTTCCCTTCCTAGCACCATTATCATCACCTTATACAATATCCTATAACTTACTTAGTACGATCATTGTTTATTGTCTGTCTCCCATTACCAGAATGTAAGCTCCATGAAGGCAGACGTTGTTTTGTTTACTGCTGTATCCTCATTGCTTACTCTATATTTGTTGAATGAGTGAACAAAATAACACCAGCCACCATTTACTCTGTGTAACTGGAAGGTGATTTGCATGTTCCCTCTCTCTCAATCCTCGCAGTAGACTAATGAAATAGGCAGTTTAATACTGAAGTTCTCCCAGCAACTTGAATTAGGGGAATGAGGACTTTTCTACATGGAAACAAATGAGCTTCAGCATAAAAGTGCAAACGTTTGCTATCACTCCCTTCTCTTCACAAAGCTGAGGAAAAAACGGTAAAAATTTCAGTACCATGCCTTTAACCGGATTGACAATTTTAACAACCTAATTAAGAACTTCTCTAAAATCTTCATGCATCTCTCCAGCAGCTGGGGCTTTCTTTCATAAATATATTTCACTTCCATTGCAATAGCCTGAATGTGTAGAACAAACATTCTTTCATATACTCAATAAATGTCAGCTCCTGGAAGTAACATTTGGATGTATTACTGAAAGAATACTCAATTCATATGGAAACTCTACACATAAGAATCTATACTACTTTTCCTATCACCTGTATTTTGTGTATAATCTGAACATCAAAACAATAATTTTAAAAGCGTTAGTTCCAAAGGTTTAAAATATTCAGAGCTCACCTGAGCACCATGCCTATATATCATGCAGGTACTTTGCTACTTATTTTAGTCTCATCCTAGCATATCAATGAAATCAGGGTTGTGTGTGATAGTTCAATTTTTTTTCCCTAGTACATACTACATGAATGTCAATTATAATAAAACACTTGGTACCATAAAAAATCACATCACGTGCAGTGTTTCCTAAAGTGTGGCAGACATTGTTGGTGACCTGCTCATGTCCCCTCAGACCCTACTGTTTTAGGACACAACTGCCTAACTACAGTACACTGCCTGAAGGATTCTTCTGTTAGCCAGAGCTAACGCTACCTGTAGGTACGACGGGATGAACATGCCTGAGAATTAACACCTTTCCAAACTCCACCCCAGGAGCAGTCCTTACACAATGAATGGCAAAAGTTGGTAAATTAACATCCCAGCTCTCTTGTTCTCAAGATGGAATGACTTGGAGACACATGTTCTGTACTGATTCCCAGAGTTCCCCAGTGACTTAAGTTCTAGCGACCCACAATGGGAGCCAACTTGATTATGCACCCTTTTTGGCTTCCTTCCCTTCCCATCTCACTTCCCCTCTCCCCTGTTTTTGGTTTCTGGGATTACCTGACAAATTACTTGCACTCAAATCTTTGTCTTAGGATCTGATTTGGGGGAGACTTGAATTAAGACATTGGTATAAGCTGTTTGCAGTTGGGTTTCTGTCATGTAGGCAAGACTGCTAACACAGTGTATTATATATATCACCTTTTCTCCTTCTAATATGGGGAATAGATTAAAGGAGATTAGCCTGGAGGTTGCAAAAAAAATCAGACCAGAGAATCTTTGGGGATGGAGAGGAGGGGAAAAATCAGAAGGACATTTGGAGGTGGAATCTACAGGACCTTGTAATTATTTGGAAGTAGTTGGAGGAAGAAGGAGGAATCTGAGGTGATTCCCAGGTTTTTGATTCAGGAAATTTGCTGTACGGATATCATTCATTGAGATAAGGAGTGTGTGTGAAAGAGAATGTCTTGGAAAGCGAAGAATTTGATTTTGGATATAAGTTTGAGATACTTGTCTGATGTTCAGGGGGAGAAATAGAATCTGGCCTCAGGAAATATATCTTGATTAGAGATATTGATCTGGAAGTTCTCAGCAGCGAAGTAGGAAATCAC